CCATTTACAGTCCCTCCGCAGTGTGTCGATGGGGAGCAGATGGCGCGGTGCAGAAATCAGGTCTCTGAGAAAAAAGTGTTGAGAATAAAACTCCTCTAAGCAGAAGCCTACATGGCTTATTTCAACATAAAATGAAAAACTGGGACCTGTGGGCAAAAATAGAATATGCCTTCAGAGCGGTGTACTCAGCTTACATAAAATGCCTCATTCCTTCCTATTCCAGAACACATCCGGCCCTTCCCAGCTGACAGTTACTTTATCTCATTCGTTGTCTTTCAGCTCATTGATCTTGTTTCTCAGTGCTTGCACTTGGCTGTTCTTGTTGAACGAACATCCACGGTTATCTCTGCATTTTCTTCCCTTTTTCCTTTCCTGCACACCCAAGGCAAAGCTCTCTCAATTTCTTCCCAGGGAGGCGGTGGTATGACCTGAATTGCATCCGTCCTTGTTTAAATCCAGCCAGGCACAAACAGCCAGCGCACACATGGGTGAGGGTCTAATGTCAAAAATTTAATTCTGTGCATGAGGAGGTAAATTCCGGTAGGCTACTCGTTGCATGAGCTGTTTGCATTGGAGAGCTTTGAAGACCCTGTGGTGTCCCTACCTCATTCACTTGTGTCAGACTGAAACTTAACTTTGCCCCAGCCAAAAGCCAGTCCATGACATTCTGTGTTATGGGGTAAGAGTATTCCCTGTACTGGGAGAGGAAAACGCTTTACGCCATTCCCTGGGCTATGCGGTATTAAGGAACTGTGGTATCACCTCTCAGCTGGCTGCATTTCGGTGACCTAAATCTTATTCATACTAACTGAAAATAATTTAGCAAACTTTGGTATAAAACCTTATCTAAAATTATAGAGGGCTGTTATTTACGCTTGCTTTTCCCCCCTTCAACAACTGCATTGTACATTGCTCTTTTACATGCGTGTCTACTACTTCTATGTAGTACAGTAGCATCATTCTGCATGCCAAAATTGCTAGCGTTTCTCCTGAAAGAGGAATGAAAACCTCCTTTTGCTCTACTCTGTGCCCATGTCCCTGTCAGCACCCAGGACGGGAGACATTCTGCATGAGCTCTGCAACTGTTCAGGCCTCCTCATCTCGGGAGCAAAGCTGCTGATCCGATGGGGACAGAACGTAGCCGCGTTCTCCACGGAGGAAGAGCGAGTTCCCGGGAATCAGCCCTGGTCTCCGTGGCGGCCGCAGCCCGTCCCGGTGCAGCCGGGATGATCCCGTCGCGCTCCGTGCGGTGCTCCGGACGGAGCAGGGCGATCCGCAGCGCTGGACGCAGGAGCGCAGGGGTTGGTGCACCGCGTGCTCGTCTGTTCCGTGGAACTGTTCGAGCCCAAAACGTGCCTGATAACCAGCATTCTACTGAGGCACCTTGTGTACGCTCTGCGCTGAAACTCGGAGCCAAGGCACTCCTGGCTCACGGCAGAATATTCACGTTTTCAAGTCAGCAGCTGCAGAGCCACAATCTGCAACAGGTACCGGGTTTAAGGCAGCAGCCGCAGATGAATTTCATTAGACGAGCAGGGAAAGCTTTTAAGATCTGAGCATCTGCTCTCCAGACGGACAGTCTGGTGTCCCCTGCGCCTGCCCCAGGACCGTCCCCACGCGGCACAGGCGGAATTGAACCCGCTTCGTTGTTGTGCCTGGCCAGGTGGGCACGTCCTGCGGCGCCTCTGGAGCTGTGTGGAACACCGGGTGCTGCCAGGACAGCAAAGGGCTCCAGGGCTGGTTAGCGGGAATCGGCACGGCCCACGGATCCAGCCTGGGAATCGTGCGGGAGCAGAGGAAGGGGCAGAGCGGATCCGGCAGTGCGGAGCCGCAGGGAAGGAGGGATGGCGGGAGGGGGCCTGGGCGCCACCCAGTGCAGCCAAAGCCAAACGGAGGGGAACCAGGACGGTGCCGGTGCTGGTGCCGCTCCGCACGGACAGAACCCGGCGGCTGTGTCTCCCAAGGACCCCCCTCCTGCTGGACATGGAGAACATCATGTACAGAAGGAGCAGCCTCTTGTGGAATTCGGGCAATTGCGGCGTCTCCGTGGCCTCTTAACAGTGTCTCAGCACGGAGAGCAGTGACCTGTGTGTGCAAATCCCCGGAGCAGCGGCAGGACCGCAGGAAACAGGGAAGCAATTCCCGGTGTGGAGCTGGGTTATCCTCCTGCCCGTCCCTCCCGTGGGTGCGGACACTGCACTGCTCTTCACTGCCTGTTTAAATCTCATCAATTTAAGGGGGTTATGAGAGGCCGTCTTTAATCAAACCATTCGTTCTGTCCAGGTCTCCCTGTCTGTCTCTCCTCCCAGATTTACCCAGACATAATTATCTCATATTTGAGACTTATTTCCCCTTTAGGACCAACTGGGAATATCCACCTAAAAGCTGAACACTAATTGGAGGTAACAGGCTGCTGGAGCGCAGCGATCCCGCTAGCTCTGCCTCCCTCCCCTGCCATCTGTCCCTCCCGCGCGCACAGGTTTGCTCCCAAAGCAGAACTCGCTTCTTGTTTACACGTGTGACAGGATGGGGCCTGCTCTTGGTTGGTACTCAGCTATTCGTGTAAAAAGATCATAATTAATACGAATAGGAATTTCGAGATTTTTTTTTGCTATCGGTAATATGACAGAATTTCAAAAGACTCACAGAGACTGCGCTGCACCAAGAGCCTTTAAGACTCACTCAGACTGCCTGGCAGCGCAGAGATACTGCAGCCGTGGATGCACTCATGCAGTGGAAGCCACTGCTGAGATTTTTCCAATCCCATCCACCATGAATGGGATCCTCTAAACTGCAATGACAATAAAAGCTGATACGTTTAATTTAAGCACAATTTGAAATAAGTGCTCTACAGAAGGCGGTAAGTGGTGTGAATACAACAGCCTAATACAACGGGCCTTTGCTGGGGTGAACGCTGGGCTATTGTATTTCCAGCATCCCAGACTTGGAGTGTTTAACAGGAAACTCGTTCCTGCGCCCGGTCTGCCCTCCCGCCCACCTTGAGCCGCGTTTTCTCCATGCTCCAGACCCTGGCTGGTTAGCGCTCCTGCACCAGGCTCCGCATCGCTCCGCGCTGCTCCCGCTCCAGATGCTTCCTCCTCTGTCGTACCTGTGTTGAAGCTCTCGTGCTGTTCGTAGGACACGTAATCCCAGGAGCGGGTGAAAGGCTGCTTAGCAGAATGGGTTTATGTGCCTGCGTCTGAAGGATTGCTTTTATATAGAGTCATTAATTGCCTGTGTGTGGCTAAACGCACCTCTGAGCTGCACAGCGGGGAGTCAACAGGAGATGCTCATGTCGGTGGACGGTCCCCCCCAGGAAATGAGCTGCAAAGAGCGTTGCAATGATTAGCCCCAGGCAGACAACCTGCTTCTGGCTAAAGCAGCCAACTCGCTGGCAGGGAGGCAGCGTCCGTCCCCTCTCCTAGTCCCTTGCAGCTTCCTCGTGATCCCGCAGAGGGAGTATCTGCTCCCGTCGCTTTTGAGATATCCTATTCCTAATAGGACAGAACTGCAAGGGATAAGGGAGTCTGCCAGATCCGCTGTGCAGGTGCATGCAGCAAGACGTGCTGTGAAGATGCAGCGACCAGCGCGATTTCACTGAACAAAGTCTGTTTTCAATGTTGTGCAGACCACGGAGCTCCATGTTGTGTGTTGGGAGCGCTTGGAAACGGGGGAGGTTGGAGGGGGTGCCGCTATCTCACAGCTCCATCTACGAGCAAGAGACCGTTCCTTCCAAGGAGCACGGGCAGCAGGATCAGGTATTATGGCACTTTGTGGGGGAAAAGGAGGAAAATGTTGCTGGAGGAAAAGACGAGAGTGTGCAGCACCACACAGGGAGCCTGGAGAGGGCAGGAAGCCAAAAAAGGGGATGACGTAAGGAAAAGGAGTGGGTTTTGAATCTTATGAAAAATAAAAGGAAGGAGATATCCCTACAGGGAGCAAGCAGTGGCACTAGGTAAGAAAAACTTAGTAGAAAATGGCCTTAGAAAATCAGAATTAATACATGCTGTACAGAGAAAGCCACAGTGAGAATTAATATTCCCCCTTTGGAATGTGATGAATCTGTTGGCTTTGGTAAACCAGAAGTTCATCCGTCATTTACTCTACTGAAAACCCAAACCCATTTAACACTGGACGCATCTGCCGGCTGTGGGGAGCATCCGCGGGAGCTGGTGACGGGGCGCGCTCCGCGGGCAGCCAAATTCTGTCCCCGAGGACGGCCCCGCTCCTCCGCACACACCAACCCACCCGTGGGGTTGACACCCCGTCCCACTCCTCCGCACACACCAACCCACGCAGCCGGACTGTGGGGAGACCCGGGGAAACTGCCCCCGGGATTCATCCCGTTGCTCCGGGCGGCAGGGAAGGGATTTCAGACAGGGCCAAGCGCCGCACCGCTGCACTGCGTCACTGATGACGTCTGTCGCGCGGCCGCGACGCCTTTGCGCCGTTTTCCCCCGTTCTGGCGCGCGCGGCCGGTAACGCTCTGCCGATCAGCGCCCCCCCGCGGCGGGGGCGGCCCC